ATCACACACATAGTTTTAAGGCAGATTCAAGGAACATAAGGAAGATACTTTGAAGTGAGGTATGCTGTAGAAGACCAAGTAACAGCAAATTTGGCCGTCTGAAGTAGGAGACAGCTAATCCCTTGAGGGCAGAGATATAAATTATCTCAGCGTAGTGCAAGATCTCACCACCAGGCAGCTACTCCAGAATTCACATACTGAAATTTCCTATCCTTGCTTATCCCACATCAGCATGCATGTGTGCCATTATCATCTTGTTCTCAGGGCTTTCTCCTTACAAGCCGAAGGGCATACCTTTAATTGGGGGTGTTAACCACAGACATTTAATGAACAGTGATTACTTGAGTTTTAATCTGTTCTGCAGATTCTTCTAAAAGAAACTCATACCTTCAGGGAGAAAATAAACCCTCATGATGCTTTTCTAAGTTATAACCAGAAAATTTTTTTCCCTCCTAAAGAGCAATAAGCCCTGTTCACAGTAGGACATAGGTAACAAACTGTGAATCTAATTAAGTGTGCAATTATACAGCAGATTGCAGCATGGTATGGTCTTACTTAAATCAACTGACTTGCATGCCAGAAACATGGCAGTCCCAGAAACATGGCACTCAACGAAGACTGAGCTGAACACATTTAGGGACCATTTCCAGTGGGAGTGAAGAGTGAACCAGGCTCAGTTCATCCAGGCTAATGGCACCTGCAAGCATCCAACAAAAAAGACAGCAGACACACAGAAGTTCAAATAAGATGCAGAAGCAATCTTGGGCAACTCTGTGGCATGGCAGCTATCAGGTGGAGTTTTCATGCATCAGTGGTTTGTACATATTTGTTTCGGTCTTTTTTGGATGTGGCTGTCAGTGTAGAGCTCTGATGCTGCATCTCTTTTCCTTGAAATATGGTGAATTGGCAATACCTTTTCAAAGTGGTCTAAGAGAAGTATTCCCCCTTTATCAAACTACTCTTCCCCAGAAAACAGTAGTTTTGGGACGTGTGCCATTACACACGGGCTTCTACTTACACCAGGCAGTTCCTAGATTTGAATACTGAGACTTGCATAAATAACACAGTGAGAATTTCTGCTAAATAGTCTACACAAAACTGACCTATATTTGCAAATCTCGTTTGAACCACTGTAACAGAAATACACTTGTCATTAAAAGCGAACAGTTATCATGATACTGAATTCAGAGCTCTGTGCATCTGCCACAGTAGGGCTCAAGTAAACACGGTTTTACTTCAAAGCTACTGCCATTATCATTGTTCCTTTGGGCACTCAGCAACAAATGGCACATTTCTGGGGAATTTTGCAGGCAAACACACACACTGTAAGGTACCATTTCGACTTGTCTGGGAGGGGAGTTTGGGAGGACTAGGGTCTGCAAGTAAATTCACAGTGAACAGATGGAAAAAACGTGCTCTGAAGTAACAGGGAGCCTCCCCAAAATCAGCAAAAGCAGCCTGAAGTCTAATCTGAGATTACAAACATGACTGATAACTTTCCAGGAACAAGGGACAGGACATGTCTGATTTACCCTGTGTGACTGATGGACCCTCTATCTCGTTGTCAGTCTTCAGGCTTGCATGATTTCCTGAAGGTTTCTGGGTGACTGACTGAGCAGCTTTACCCATTGGTTCTCTCAGTGCTGGCTTTTAATTGTCAAACCAGTCGACGTCCTCATATCACCCAGATCTCTCAGCAGAAGGGAAAGCTCAGGCTCCCAATCTGCTGAAGATTCCAAAAAAACATGCATTCATAGGTTACACAGCAGAAAAAACCCACACTCTGCTGGAAGATACGTGCAGGAAAACAGGTACATAGCAGCTTCAGTAGGGTGAATAAAGCCCAGGAATAACAAATCAAACCTGAGAACAAAGTGATCTATTTGTGTCTTGTGTAGGGATGGCAAAATTGTGCTGTGACAGGGACATGCATAGTGGCAAGCAAGTGAAGCTAGCAGTAAATAATCTAATTTTCTGAAAATAATTTTTCTGACAAACTTTTCTGTTCCTGATAATCTACTCTTGCTTTTGACACATAAAATTTAAATATTTTGTTAAAGGTTGCCCACTGATCCTGACTGAATTGTTCTCAATGCAAGCAGAGGGCTATACCTCACTGATAACATGTACACATAATGCTTCAAAAGAGCTAGTTTCACAGAGAGAGTGGAAAACAAGTAAATTTAGATGGGAAAAATCAGGGGGGAAAAAAGAATGAAAGCAATGGGTTTTTTTTTATCCACTACACATGGTTTGGTCCGAAGTAAACAAACACCCTGGTGACAGTCTAAATTATTCTATATGCTCTCTGATTTAGTTTCCCCTTAAAGAGACTGTCAGTTAGCAGTCCCTTAAATAGTTTCTGTCTCCAGACTAGCTTTTCTCCCCACTCCACCAGACCTTAAAAAAACCCCACCTTTTTTCCTCTTCTAATTTTTCCTCCCAAGGTGCATTCCTGTTGCACATGCCATAAAGCCAAGCTTGCTTGAGCACAAAACCAAGGAGGGAAGTTTTACTGCTCCACAGTGCAGGACAGGAGGGCCTGCCTTCACAGTAGCACGTGCCTTGGTCATTTTGTTTATACGTGCTCTGAATTAAGTCATGCCATTCCTTTGCAACTGCACACCCATTAAAAACTCTTGCCTATGTTTCTTACCTGTTTTCAGCACGAGTACTGCAGTACTCTCCTGTCATTTTTCAGGAGCTGAGGTGATTTTTTGCATTTCTGAAAGTTTGGCGATTGACTGGTTTTCAGGTCAAGAAGAGATTCCACTCTTTATGCTGTGCTGCAATCATAGCTGCCTTCTCATGACACACGATGTGTAGTAGAGTCCTACCTCTACTGCAGGCTTGCTGAGGAATCATGCGTCAGTTGCTTCATCATGCAGTGAATTTCCAGGTTCAAAAGTATCACTAGTGAAAGCAATGTATTACTACTGTAACATCAAAACCACTGAGTTATTATTTATGTCTCATCAAGCCTCACCAGAAAGAGCTACCTGAAAATTGAGTTCTTCTATCATGGCTACTATCTTTCCTCATCACAAACTTAGGCAAAAAAGCAACATTTGTGGAGAGACTTCAGGAAATTAAAACAACTCATTCGTGAGATAAATCAAAATATTTGAAGTATTTTCATAGAATCATAGAATGGTTTGGGTTGGAAGGGACCTTAAAGATCACCCAGTTCCACCCCCCTGCCATGGGCAGGGACACCTCCCACTAGCCCAGGTTGCTCAAAGCCTCATCCAGCCTGGCCTTGAACACCTCCAGGGATGGGGCATCCACAGCTTCTCTGGGCAACCTGTTCCAGTGCCTCACCATCCTCACAGTGAAAAATGTCTTCCTCATATCTAATCTAAAACTACCCTCTTTCAGTTTAAAACCGTTACTCCTCATCCTATCACTACACTCCCTGATAAAGAGTGCCTCCAGATCTTTCCTGTAGGCCCCCTTTAAGTACTTCAAGGCTGCTATAATGTCTCCCGAGAGCCTTCTCTCCTCTAGGCTGAACATCCCCAGCCATCTTTGTGGCTTTCCTCTGAACTCACTCCAACAGGTCCATGTCTTTCTTATGTTTGGGGTCCTAGAGTTGAACACAATACTCTGGGGGGGGGGTCTCATGAGAGCAGTTGTCTCCCCTGTATAACTGGAGGCCACACATTAAGAACCAGAAAATCTAGACATTCTGGAACATTTTGATGTTTTCCAAATTCTAAGTTCAAAACAAAATTCTTCAAATGTCCATTACATTTTATTGAAGGGCATATTAAGGTGGAAAAACTAATTATGTAATCACTTTTTATTCATCATCACCAGTAGGCCAGATTATCATTTCAGTTGTACTGGCAAAACTCCCACTGTCTTCATTGTGCTTGGCAAAATGCTAGTCCTTTGACTTTGGTAAGACATACTGTTGAAGATGCAGAAAACCACCAGAGCACATGTTCCTCTTTCTTTGGTGTTTTTGGCTTTGACCCAGGACATGGGAATAAAAGTTGGTTTTAGAAATTTAAATCCAATCTGTTTACAATGTGGCATTTTTAATAATCAGTTTCCAGAACTGAAAAATACAGACCCTAAGGACCACAGATTGTAAGAGTGTCCTATATGAAGAGCTTGTGCAACTCCAATCCTGAATATCAGGACCAGATTTCTACAAGAATTTATAGGATGTCTACCTTGAAGCTGCCTCCCATTAGCAACTCATGCCGTATTTTACTTAGCTTCTTTGCCAGACATATGCTACTGCATTGGCCTCGTATTGGTTTGCGAAAACTATTGATTGAATCCCCTTGTTTCCAAGGGCTTGACTGGATTTTATCCATGACATCAGCTGGCTAGCACAAACCAACTTCACATAGGTAAACATAAAACAGCCTTAGTGTGGCACACTACTGAATCTAATAAACTTTAACGAGAAATTAAATCATGCCCAGGCAAGTTATAGGGACAGAACAACAAGGATGTATTTCATTCCACCCACTATTATGAACATATCTTGACAAGAAGTTTTGCATTATCTATATGACACAAGACAAGAAAAATGGTCCAATTCAACCTGAGATAAACTCTGTGTACAAAAGGAAGTCAGACCCACTTTCATTTCTTCTAAATTTTCATACCTAACTGAAGTGCCAAAGTTAGAAAGTTAGAGACCTTACACGGGTCTTTCATTAATGAGCAGAGACAGGCACTTCCAAAGGACATCATAAGGAGCTCAGGTGGGCTGAAACACTCTTAGGCATAACTGCTTCTCTGCAGTGATAATAAAAGAGAGCAATTTCCTCTCCCAATTGAGGAAACTCAGGGGAGTGATGCCCCAAGAATGGGATGAGATGAACCTTTGCCCCTTTGCGTGAGTAGCTCATAGCTCCTACAATAACTGTGGCACTGTAAAATCCTGTGTAAACTCGAAATCATTGCTTTCGGTGCTGCATTATGGACACAGCAATTTTCAAGGAAAAAAGTCCTCTGGTCAATGTTTTCAGTGCTGTCGCCTATTCCAGATTTTTTCTCTTCCCCCAGTCCTTAACTGTGTGTTGGATATTCCACCTTTGTCCTGTGCAGGTCTGCATTACCAGTCTGTATGAAGCTGGACTGTCTGCTGTGATTTCGAGGCATCTTTTAGTGCTTCTGTTGATTATGGCTGATCCCTATAAAAGGAAAGAAAATATGACAGAATCTGAGTGCTTAAAAATTTAGTGCTCAGTCAGGAAGCAATTCTCTTGGCCTCTTCAGATATGTCTGAAAACACCAGTAGGTCACAGACCTGAAAGAAAAACGTTGCCTTTTCCTCAGGCTAACGAAGCAGAACAGCTTATGGAACTGTCCAAGGTATATTAAAAATATACTTGGAGGTTTACTTTGTATCTGCTTTTTGGAGTTTGGGGGGTGGGGTGGCAGTGTTTGGTTTTTGCGGGTTTGGTTATTTTTACAATTAAAAAAATCATTTCAGTAAATTTTATTACTGTATCCTGTTTTGAAAGAAGAGAGCTAATAACAGGAAAAAGAATATTAATCTCTTAGCTCTAAGTCAGTATTTCAGTACCAACTTTTGTGAACGCAGTAGGGTGTGGTTAAGTCAACTCATCATGCCGGAAATGAGGATTTTCCTAAGGGGCTGGGCTCCAGAGCAAACAGGATCTTACCTGGCTCCTTCAGGCAGACAGTTATTTCACTGTGATCATGCTGAATGCACACAAGGAGCAGAAGGTTTACTTTTAAGGTGGGTCCAAATCTTCAAAAAACATACCTGTAACTTTTTCTAAGTTCTGTGTTTACAGACCAGACTAAAGATAAAGGACAGCCCATGTTAGCAGAATTTCTGCAGACCGTGTAGGTCTATATTATTTGATGCACAGCACTGAAACCTTTGTCTTTCACCAATTCAACTCCGCTGTTCTCTACCAGTCCTGCTTAGTTTTTCACCGAGAGGGGTACAGTAAACAGGCTCATACATTACACATGAAATTAACTAATTATTAATTACATAAAGCTAATAAGGTTTGAACTGCCTGAGAGGGGAGAAGCTGCCTGGCTCCCCATCATTATTGCTGCTGCCTGTTTATCCTGCCCCAGCAGTGTGGCAGTATCTGTCTTGGACTATCTGACTAAGATGGTATTATCGTATTCTGTATTCAGAAGCACTGCATACAGAATAGGAAAGTATCTCTTGTGATCTTAAGCATGTCAGCATCGGCTGGCACAAATTCTGGACAAATGCAGACAAGTGAACTTTGCATGAAGGCTGTCATCACCAGCTGTAACGTGGGCTCAGAAGGGGTGAACCTAGCCTGATCTCCAACAACGATTTCCATGCTCAGATGCCGGTACAGAAGGTGGTACCAGAGAGTGAGCAGGACAAGACAACAGCCTGCTTTTCCCCTAAGACTAACAGGTCCCATGAGGAGACTGGGAAGACAGATGGTGGACAGTGGAGAGAGTTCACAATGTATAGTCAGACCAACAAAAGCAACAGAGGCACCTGGGTTTGCACATTCCCTGCCTGTTAGCTGAACTGTGTGTGATAACTGAGCAAGCGAGTGTTTTCAGTCAGCCCAGCTAAAAATCAAGAGAAACTGTCAAGTAAAAGGCTTAAACCAGCTGATTCCACCAAGACTGACAGATGGTTGCAGGACAAATAAGTGGCTATGATTCACCAGTGAGAACTGGTTAAATTCTGGTAACTCAGTCAACTTCAGCTCTGTGACCATCCCCTTGTTTTTAACATCACACACCCCTCAATCAACTTTACCACAGCTCTTGCCAGTGGCACCTGCAAGTCTTGAAGCTGAGGAAACTGCTTTGCAAGGGAAGTATCTAAGGATTCATTATAATGGGAAAGCTTATTGAAATGTGGGGAATATAGAAATCCACCTACCTGCTTAAAATCCCAGTGCAAGTTCAGACCTTTTTTCACAGCTGTGTCACATTGCTCTAAAACTGGCCTGTCCCCATTCCCAGGGTCTGTTAGGCATCTATCAACTGTATTCTTTCGGGCATGTAAACCTCCTACATACATTTCTCCAGTGCTGTGATAAATGATGTGCTGAAATGGAAGGTGACACCACTGTCAGTGAATTAAAATACCACAGAAATCTCATCAGCAGATGACAGCAGACAATTCCAAAACTGATATTGCAATGTATCAGCTGTACAGCACCAGCATCCAATAATCTCTCTGTAATTAAACCACAAATTTGACCATATACAACATCTTTCTCCTTTCCAATGGAAAAAGCAAGGTGCTTACAATTGAATGGTAACCCTTAGCATCCCTCCTACTGAGAGGACAGGCTGTGAGGTGTGAGGAGGAGCTCCATCTCTCTCCCATTCATCCCACTGGTCTTCTGTTAATCAACAAGATCAGTCAGTATCAACACGAGGTCTCACAATTTTTTGGCAAGTCTAAACCAAAAGCCTTAGTTTAATGCGCTTAGATCTCCACGGGAACCTGCTCTGCTGCCAGTTGCATTGGGGAGCAGAATTTAATGAAGTAAAGGTTAATATTCCCCTTTAGATAGCACAGAGATAATAGCTTTGAAGTGTCTATTTCATGGTCCTGGGGAGCCTTGAAAGGAACAGATAGCAACAGCTCGTATGTGAAGATTTGATCGGTTGTTTGCATTACCTGTGGTGTGTATGCATGACAGGGATACATAATTGGCGTGTTTCCAGGGACAGGGCCCTGATCAATACAGATGTCTTCTTTCAATGTGTTTTTCATCTGAAGAAGAAAACATTAAATTTCAGTAAGGAACAGCAATCCTGTTTTCAACTCCCCACTGGTAATTTTAGAAACTGTCCTGAAAGCAAAGCGACTTTATTCAGAGCTCTGCATCAAATCCTGAAATGGGAGATAAAATACAGGTTCAAAAAAAACCTCAGATTACCTTTGTAGAAAACACAGTAAACATCAAAAGCAAATCATAGAATCATAGAATGGTTAGGGTTGGAATGGACCTTAAAGATCGTCTAGTTCCCAACCCCCTGCCATGGGCAAGGACACCTTCCACTAGACCAGGTTGCTCAAAGCCTCATCCAGGTCTAAGATCCTTCAAAGACCCATTGACATTGTGCCAGGTAGCACGATGTCAGAAGTCACCTGGCAGCTCCAAACAGGTGTGTACCACTGCCTAGCTCCAGCAAGGTATACCAGCTTGGGTCTAGAAAATGCCTACCTATATTAAGAAGCTACTGAAGCCTGGATGATTAGTTGTCTCTTTCACAGTTTAGAAATTCTAGACTAACAACGAATATGTGAGTTGACGGTTGGACTTGATTCTTGTAGTCTTTTCCAACCTTAATTTTATGATTCTATGAAAAACACTTTGGAAAGCTTCAGTGCCTAGAAAGACATGTAAAAGTATTTTTAAAGTTTCTAGGAACATATGTCATAATCAGTAAAACTGTATTCACAACAGATCTTCATAACATTTGAGCTAATGACTTTTTCCATATTTCAAATAAACAGACTCAATACTTACTGTTCCATAGCCAACAATGTCAGGAAGAAGTATCAAATTAGGGTAGACATTTTTTATGTACCAGTCAAAGCCTTTACAGTTCAGTTTTTTCCTTAGCTCTTTTCTGGAAGAAACATCTCCAAAGTCTACTCCAGGATTCTGCAAGAACAACATATTTCATTTTGGAACATTAACGTGGTCTGGGAAACTAGGGAAAATACAGACTTAATTGTCCATATTATCTATTCATAACATTAAAAAAATCCCAACAGTTCATTAAAAAAACCTAAAACTTTTTAAACTTCAGAATTACAGAACATTTGCTTAAAAGCACCAATAAATTACTGAAAACCTAACATGTTATGACTTCATAAATATAAAGAATATCAAACTTAGATGTGGCTAGGAAATAGTTTTCATACCGACAAAAAAACCTAGCTCAAAGTGAAAAATGAGGCAGAGCTTGTTAAGAACCTTAGTTTGATCACCAGTCTGTTGACCACGATGCTAATCTCATATGGGAGCAATCAGATTCAAGCTATTGTTTCCAAAACTATGTAACTTCTTATACAAAGTGGAACAGCTCCAACAAGAAAGTTTGACAGAAATCAGTCCAACAGGAGCTAACACCATGTCTTTAAGCAGTTCTGTAAAATGCAGTCTGTGACCCGAATAAGTTAGGTTAGGAATTTCAAATAGACTTGTACATCCTAGAGAAAAGGGGTCATTAAAGATGAACAAGTTTTACTCAAGTTTCATTCAGTGCTAAAACTGATACTTGTGTTCCTACCAACAGCTTAGTTTTTGATGACTAGCATTTTCAGATGAAAAATTCCAAATATTTACAGTAATAGTTAATAAACGGGGAAGGAATGTGTATTATTCTGAAGTTTTAATTTATGCTGTATCACCATGTATTTTAATTTGTTTCTCTAATATCTATCCAGGAAAACACAGGGAGGTGGGAGGCTATTCTTCCTTTGTTAAAGATCCATAAATCCACTGAAATGCAGGCTGGAAAATTCAAAACAGGTTTTTTTTATTAACTGAAGTTATCAATAGTCAAAAGACCTGGTCTCGATGCTTCCAGTATTTTCAACAGCTTGTGCAGGAGAGAAGTTAAAACCGTATTCAGCAGTACTGAAGTTTATCAAAAGGAGAAAAAACCCTGTAATTTAAAGGATTTAGATTATTATTACTAAAGGAAAATTCTTAATTTCCTGGTATTACCATTTTTCAACCTTCCAAGGATGCTATAAGACTTTCCCCTTTTTCTTCCAGGAAAACAAAAGCAGAACTTTGGGCTGCACTGAGAAGAGCTCACTTTAAAAAAGTCGTCAGGTATGTGATGAAGAGTAATTGAATTCTCTATTTAAAGTTCCATTTTGCCCATTTAGAAGATATTCAGGGACACCCAGATCACTAGATACATGCTCTTTCATGTATAATTATGAACATTCCAGGTAAAATGTTCCAACTTTCCCTAAAAAAGTTAAAATATATGTTAAATAGTTTCATTTTATATTCCTCAAGCTAGACATCAACTCTTGGTCTGAGCCTAAGAGGAGCATGTCTTTGATCATGGCTCTTGCATGCCATACATATCAATAGCTATTAACATATCAATATTATTTTTTTTCTCATAGTGACTCTTATAACCACTCTAGGCATCTTATTGTGTGACAATATGCTTTTATTTTACCAATTTTAGACTTTGGATTCTAATTTGAAACACAGACAAACATTGCCACCTCAATTGGAAGATTCCATGCAACGTAGACCATGTGCTTATAGTCATCCATCCACACTTCGGCTACCCGCAAGGCGTTGCGTTTCAACGCGATGCTTAAGTCCGGTAAGTAAGGCTTGTGATTTCTTTCCAAATGAGCGATTCTTGAGCAGGGCAGCACTTCTATTTTACCTCCACACTGCCAGGCCTAGGTCAAGAAGAGAGAATTTGAGGTATTTATTCAAACTCTTTGCACTTTTTGTTAAAGTGCTTCCGTTTCTGCTCCCCGACTCCTTCACCAGGTGAACTGGCATGCGCTCAGCATTCAAACATCCATTTCCTGGCTCAAGTGAATTAAAATAATTTTTCAATACCTTTGATTTCTACTGTGTGTAGCCCTATCACAGGTCCAGGAGTGTAAAGGCATGTTCTTTCTTCTTTTTCTTTGCCATCACTGTTAACAAAACTACTCACCAGGTTCCTGTGACAAGGCACTCAGATCAATTGTCATAGATGAACTAAGACAAATCGGTACATACCTCCAACGGTTCTCAGTAGGAGCTAGACTGCTAAATACTATGGTGGTTATGGGCCTGAATCCTTCAGAAGCAGTGACATTGCCCAGGACATGCCAAGAGCAAAACCGGTCTTGCAAAATCTTACACACTAGGGAAAATTCAAGAGAAAGAAGTCCAGTGGATTCTTGGAAAATATCTGCATGGAATTTAAAGAGATACCTAAGCAGGCCACTGTCAATGCTTCAAAAGTACTGAAGGTCTGGGACAAACACACTGAACCCAACTATACATGAACCAGTGTAAGTGTGGAAGCTCTTCAAAAGGTGTGCAGCTATGAAAACAGCTCAAGCTGGCAAGTACACATGGCACTGCACAATGCAGACTTGTTGTCCTAGTTTAGGGATCATCATTCAGTGCTCCATTATCTGCTATCTACTTCCTTCACATGTTCCCATTAAATTTTCCAGGACTGGCAGACAGCTAAAGAAAAACATGAGAGGCTACTTGCGTGCTAACCAAGAATATTTGACACAAGAAACCCTCAGGATGAAAATAAACAGAGATCTGTAATACCATTTTTACAGTCAATTTTCAGAGCAGCTTTGTGTTTTGACTGAACCGATTCTCCATTGTTTTCACCTCCAGCACATGTGTAAATGACTACAGAGTAGACATACATTGCCACCACTGTGAATGGTGCAGGGCAATAAAGAATAAAGTGTAAATGCTTTTTCAAGCAACAGAACAGAAATACTAATTCACAACCTGCCTCACAAGACATGAGGTGATGACGTGTGACATTTCAGTCTCATTGATGTGTCAACATCTCCAATGTAGTATCAACCCACGTTAGTAAATCCACATGACTCAGTGTTGTGCCTCATACACAGGGGCTTTGTTTAACACAGGATTTAGCATGTTTGGAAGACTGTTGCTATATTTCCTCTTGATCATCTCATCTACAAATCTAAAAACCTAATTTAGACCTATTTCTGCTATAATGTCATGTATTGCAGGAACTCTATTTGTTCTTTCCTTCAGATTTCCTGATGTATGGTCCAAGAAATCAAAACACAACTCCAGAAGAGAACTTAGCAGTAGAAGAGGAGGATCATCAATGCCGTCATTTCCCATCCAGCTGCGTGGCCATGTTGACTCATACAAAGTCTGTTACTCCCAGTTCTTTTCTAGCTGGATGTTCCCCAACCTATTCCTCTGTAGCTGTTTTTTCCTCATGTTTCTCCTAATTACTGCTGGTTTTCTTCTTTGCACAAAGCATGCTACCCTGTTACAGAAAAAAACCCTAAACTTGTTTGACATTATTTGTTCAGAGAAATGTATATTGTCTGTATTATCTTTCATGTGCTTACTAATAGACACCAGAACAAAAAAGAAAAAGCTGTAAGAACATGAGAAAATTCCCATACTGGACCAATAGTCCATCTAGCCTAGTATTCTGTATCTCACAGTGACTGCAAACTTACTCCCGGGGAAGGTTAAGAACAAGACAAATACATATGTTACCTCTCACAGCCCCCAGTTATTTTCAGGTCGGGGGACTTTCTGCATATTCCTGTGATTCACTTGTGTTTACTAACTCTGAGTAGGGTTTTCTTCCATCACTACTCAGTCTCCCCACAAATGACTGCATGTTTTTAAGATCCACAATACTCTTTGGAAGGAGGTCTGTCCCTGGCCTGTTGGTCTGGTCTGCTACTGCAAGAATGAAGTACCTTCTCCTCATGTTCGTTTTGAAACTGGTTACTGACTTCCTGGTTCCTGGTTACTAGTTTTTGTATTTACAGAGAAAGAGAATAATCAAACCCTTTTTTCCTAGACATCTAAGTCTTGCTAACAGGTTTATAATTCTCACGTCCTACCATCCTTTCTCTTCTTTATAGTGATAAGCACTACATTTATTTTTTTTCTTCTCAGGTCTTTTAGAATGTCTCCGGCCACCCTCACTTCTAAAAAATACTCATCAATAGAATTTTTAGTGCTCTCATGTGTTCCCTAGTAACTAAAGACACTCCAGATAAAACTATTCTAGCAGAAAAAAAAAGGCGTCCATTCTTGATTTGAAGACATCCAAAGTTGAAGAACACATTATTTTCTAGGGCATACAGACCTCTTTCTGGCTTTGTTTTGGTGGTTGGTTTTTTTTTCCCTAATGCATTTAACTTGATCTTATCTTATTCTTCTGCTGAGCCAAGAGACATACACTTTAAATTTCTGCAGAGAACTAGATCTTGCAAGATTCACTATTTGCTCACTGAACCAGGTTTTTCTGTCAGGAGTAAAAATCCTTAAGCAGCATCAATAAAAGACTGCTGGTGAGCCTTAAACACTTTTGGAAATCTATCACTTCCCTTTGGTATCCAAAATAAAACATAAGTCTTCTGAAATACTAACCCATGCTTTGGACAACAACCAGCAGCCTAAGTGCTTTCAAAAAAATCACATACTACTTTTCACTGTCTTTCAGAAAAAGATGAAAAAATGGGCTTACCCTCAGGCCAAGTTCAACATTTTCTCCTCCATATATGTGCATGCCACCATCCAGTACACCAATTTCACCCAGAAATTTCCTATCTGCAGCAAGAATCCCCATTATAGACGGGCTCCTGGAGAATCAAACAAGCAAAATTAGAAAGAAGCAACAGTGATAGAAATAAAGGCCATTAGCCATCAATCACATCTTGAACTTCCAGAAGGATTCCAGTTGTATGCAAGAGAGAGTAACATATTTAATTCAGAGCAACATGTGGATCAATATTAAAGAATCCAGAAGACAGCAAATTTGAGTAATGGTCTGAAAAGCATGGTCTAATATTTTTTAAAGAATTAGATCTATTTTCAGAGCAGATGTAACAACAATTTTCACATACGTAAAACAAGAAGAAAGAAATCAGGTTAAACTGCAGCAAGGAAGAATTAGGTTGGACATTATGAAATTTTGCCTAACATTAAGGAGACTTAAACACTAAAGCCCATTGCCAAAGGCGATTGTGGAATCACTGTCAATTGAGGTTTTGAATAGTACCAGTAACCATCTTCTGTTGAACACATAAACTAATCTGAGCATTTAAGGAAGGTATCAGGAACAGAAGCAAATATATTAGATCCTAAGCCTAGCAGTAAGGGGTCACTTTAGGTGCAACAGCTGTGTGTATTGTGTTCATGTCTTTTTCTTGCTTTTGTGTGATACACAAAGGGTTGAAAAAGGCTGCCCAAGATCACTGTAATCATATGTCACTCCAACATCTCCAAAGAAAGAACTGCACCACTTGAATCCATGTGAGTCCTCACAGCTCAGACGTGCAGTTGTGGACCAAAGTTGTGAGATTCTCTCTATGTTCTTGGGCAAACATGGAGAGGGGTCACAGTTCATCTTGTACAGTCAATAAATAGTGCTCCTCTACACTCCTAGCGAACGAACATAAGACAGAAAAATCAATGACTTTGGGATTGCCTGAAAATCTGACAGCAGGATCAGCACAGGGCAGGTTCTGTAATACAACCCTGCAAGTGATATCCTTAGATTTTCAGGGCTGCTAAAGAACCCATACTTCCAAACCAACTATCTAGATAGAATGTGCTTCATAGGTATCTATCCCACCACCTGTGAAATATCTTCTTCCTTCTGCTAGCTCTACATTGGATATCATGTATCTTGGTTCACTCTCAAATGCTATTCATACTTACCGGACTGGAGCTGTTTCATCTTTAAGAGCATACCATTCAGGTGGTAAAGGTTCATAAAGGCACCAGAGTGCCCAGTCAAATCCATCTGCAGCCACTGCATACTGAAGAATCTCAAAGTCATCAAAACGAATATTGTCAAATACTGGTGATATTATAACAGTGCGATCTTCTTTTATTCGAGACAAAATAGGTTCAGCCCTACCAAAATTCACAAATAGAGTCTATTCAGATTGAAAAAGTGGAAATCTAATGAGCAATACTAAATTTTACTATCTGTTTCTAAAACTGGGTTAGCTAGCTTATTTAAGTCATTGACTTTGGCATTTACAATATGTTTAGTCTTGGAGTGCTAGTAACCCAAACTGCCAATCCCATGGCTCAACTCTCCCTTCCATTAGGCATCTTCTGCATTTTGACTGTCACTAATCATACTAACAATAAGTTCCAGATTTAACTTGCTGGGCTTATAGTTACCTGGGTCTGCTTCCTACAGGGCCTAGAGACTCTTCACCATCTGCATGAAGAGACAAGAAGGAAGAGAAAGGAAGGGAAGGAGATTGTGAGAGGTGCTTTAAGCCCTGAGGTTGATCATTCACCCTCTTCCTCTTGTCCCTTGATGGCACGGCTGCTGTATATGGGAAAGGGTGTGACCGATCAATGAACACCTCTGATGGAAAAAGGTTCAGAGAAGATAAGCAAGAATGATGTGCTCATAAAGCTCAAAGAAGAATGCAGGGAGCAACCACAGCTATCATAAAAGAAGCTGAACTTATCCCAACACCAAGGGGACTGGAGGGTGGCCTTTGTTGTAGATAAATGGTGGTATCAGTTGACTGGGTCAACTGGTTATGTATACAGCCTTCCTAAAATAATCAACAGAAAGCACTATCTTCCTGAGCCAGCCAGACCAACATAGGAAACATGTATATGTGGCTCAGCCCAACATAGGGTATAAAAACTGAACACCCATCAAAATGAAGTTTGAAGAGAGCAATGTGCTTGAGTTGGCTTTAACCCATGTATTTCTTCCCAGCAACTGGGGACGCCTGACATCTTGACTATGAGCATATAGAGAACAGTGATGTGAATCCCATTTGTATTGTGATTCAACTGTATTCAATTGAATATTCAACAGATTCAACAATTGCTATATTGTGCTTGTGTTATGATTTGAGTATATTGCTGTATCACTTTTCTAAACCAAAAATCCTGTGTATCTTCAAACAAGCAAATTTAGTATCAAAACATTAAACCTTCCTGAGTCAGAATATCTAAAAGAACCTGTTCAGACAGTATTGGACTCTGACAGAGGGAGTCTTTTTGATGGAGCCCAATTGTTGTTAGGCCTGGAAGAACTGACCTTACCTCTCCCTACATACTCTTGACTGCCCAGCCTATCCCAATGAGTCCTGAAAGCCATTACTAAAGGACTTATGACTGTAACAGCTAGAGAGTGTCAGTTAGTGTATTATTGAGAGACAGAGAGATCTGGACCATACAGAGCCTGAGAAGGGCAGGGAGAAGAACCTTGCTCCCAGAAAGTGAGACAAAATGGACAATAGTCAGCCAATGAATTCAACAACCCAGAGGAGACAGAATGTAAAGAGGCTTGACACAAAACAGTTCCATAGACATCACTACCTAACAGATACCCTAACAGAATGTAAATATCCATCATCAGCCACTTGTTTTGTCTCTCCTTGCAAAAAGGATCCTACAGAACTACAATGCACTATTAAACTAACAGGCAACAGTATCATAGAATCACAGAATGGCCTGGGTTGAAAAGGACCTTAAAGATCATCTAGTTCCAGCCCCCCTGCTGTGGGCAGGGTTGTCGACCACTAGAGCAGCTGCCCAGGGCCCCATCCAGCCTGGTCTTGAATGCCTCCAGGGATGGGGCATCTACAACCTCTCTGGGCAACCTGTTCCAGTGCCTCACCACCCTCACAGTGAAAAATTTATGCCTAGTATCCAACCTAAATCTCTCCACTCTTAGCTTAAAACCATTCCCCCTTGTC